TTGTATCATGTATTTTTTCTGCGAACAGCTGGAAAGAGGTAAACTTGTTTTAAGCTGCATTGAACCTTGATGGTATATAATGCAAAGTTATTTGGTGATAGTGGTGTTGAGAATGTGCTGGTGTGAAGTTACTGAAATCGACGAATAAGCTTTCATAAGGAAAGTAGACTTGTGAATTTTGCATATCTGGTTGTTACCTACACGTATATTCTTTATAAGTACACTATAATTACAGAAACGTACACCGTAAATTCAGTATACTTACATAGTTCTTTGCGGGTTGTAATCTAAAGCATTACCAAGACTTCTTTTAGAGAGTAATGCTGGTGCCAGATAGGACAATCTGTGTCTGTATGAGCCATTGTTTCAAATTTGTGCATAAAATCCAAAATATTTAACTTTTTTCCCATTTATTTTTAGATTTAGATTTTTGTTTTGTTTTGTTTTGAGATAAATGTATCATTATTTAAACGAATTGTTCACCCAAAACCAAAATTTACTCACATTCATGTGGTTCCAACATATTTATTTAGTTAGTTGGTTAGTATAAATATTTTTATATTGCTTTTATGAAAAAGAGCAGCATGACCATGAACATCTTTTCTGAAAGAAAGTCACACAGGTTTGTAAAGACATGAGCAAATGACTACAGGCCTTTCATTTCTGGGTGAACTATTGTTTTAAAATTGAACTGACACTCTTTTAGCATTAATCAATACTGAAACACTTTTCTGATCTATGTCCTAATGCAATTTGCCATATATCCTTTTTATTTGCCCTCTTAGTGCCTTTCTATCCGCTCCAGATCTCTCTTTCTCTTATTTCTCTCCCTAGTGTTTCACTCACCACAGGTGCGTCTCCGAGTCTGGAATACAGCAGGTAGCTGTGGAGGTCGCCGTGCTTCATGTAGGGCAGAATGACCACAGGAGATGGATAGCCTTCACTCTCCACTGTCTGCAGACACACACCTGTCACACAACACACAAACCATCACTCTCATCCTGCCTGAACCTACCAAAACCAAACTGACACCGTTTCTTAAGAAGTATTCCGGTCTTATTGTGCAGGATTCACTAGTGTACATTATTTAAAAATAAAAAATCTATAAAAATGTACAGTGATCGCTTTCCAGACCTCTGTAATGGCAGGGAAAAATAATATCAACCATTCAGTTTTTCCACATTTTCTGAACACAGTGTTAGTAGTGCAAGTCTAATTGCTCAATAAAGAAGATATTTCTTACTGAATATTCTATTTTACTCTGAAAATATAATCATGCTGACGTTTGTTTTGATTCTGAGCTCATTCAAGTCTGCCACAACTTCTTTCGTGTCCTTATTTCTGTAATTAAAAAGTCTCAGCTACTGAATACGATGTAGCTGAATAATTCTATGTGTAAGTATTAACATACTGTCTTCATGTGTTTTCAGAGCAACTAAACTGAACTAATCTGACCTATAAAATGCTGAAGATAGCTGACTGCCAATAGGACCATGTGACCAGCCTCCTGTTACTGTATTTGGGAAGATGGAGGAGAAGTCCATGTTACTGTAAGTAAAACTTTCTTGTAGTTTTTTTTTTTTCCAGGAGACTGAAAGAGTGATCACTCTTACCTAGAAGCCGCATGACGTTCTGATGATCGAACTCCTTCATGCACGCCGCCTCTCTCAGGAAATCTTCCATTTCAGTGCGAGTGCAGATGGCGACTGACCAAAACACAATAGAGCATGAGGTTAGTCTGATGAAAATGATTGCAGGTGTTTTCAGAGACGCTGCAGTTGCTATTGACTCACTTTTCATGGTCTTCACTGCCACTTTGAGCACAGAGTCCTCCTGAGTGAGCGAACCCTCCATGACCGAGCCGAACTCACCTGCACACACACACACAACCCGTTACAATCCGATCGTCCAGACAGTACAGCACACAGATCCCTGTGGCAGTCACTCACCTTCCCCGAGTGTTTTTCCCAGCGTTAGCTTGTGTCTGTCCACCATCACGTCCTGTAGCTTTTGCTTGAGCTCATCGCTGATCCCCAGAGAGTTTACTGAGAAAAGAACGAGCCATCTGAGAGATTAGCATCAGATTCCAGAGCCTCTTTGGATGTTTCAACAACAAGTGAAAAAAACAATGTATTCTTTAGAAAGAAACCTGGTTTTGGCATTGATATAATGCTGTTTCCTCTCTGTACTGTAATACGATCATCAAGTGACACAATCAACCAAAGTCAGCTGAGAGTTAAAGGTGATATCTGTCGATGCTGAATACACAATGATTTTTGTTTACACTCGCTTTATTTCAAGTGAGTTTACAAGAACCTGCTTATCATGTTACGTACATGAAATCTAAACATTTTTGAAGAGACAATTGTGTTTTATTTCTATTCAGATGACAAAATCAGAGGCTCTTTGAAAATAAATAAAAGTCAAATTTCTTTTATGAGAATGAATTTCACTCACAGAAAATTTCCATGTGAAAAAAAAAAGACTTTTGCTTAATAATATTCTAATAATAATAACAAACAAAATAATAATGAGACAATATTTTGGTGGTCTGAGTTCTTAAAAACTTGATAACCCTAACTTGATATATGTGTGCATAAAATGAACCCTATTAACAATAAAATGAGCCAAAGGCAGAAGCCTCGCCCTTGAGTTTTCCTAATTCAAGATTCAGTTTCATTCTGAAACACATGACAATATGGAAGTAGTACATTTGTTTATGAGTTTTGTTAATATATTGTTCATATAATCTCAAGTGTGATGAAAGTGAACCGATTTGGCCAAAATAGAGAGCTTAAGCTCCAAACTCAACTCCAGAACTATGGATGGAGTAATGAAAGAATGACTGAAGAGCTGTGACGATAGTGAAACAAGCAGCTCTTTAAATTTTCATTGACAAGATTAGATGAACTAGCTTTTCCCAACAGCCTCTATCTGAAGAATGCCACTGACACTCCTGAACAGTGTTGGGCAAGTTACTCTAAAAATGTAATCAAATGACTGATTAAAAGTTTAAAATTTTTACTTTTAAAAGTAATCACGTTGCTGTTCTGATTACTTTATTTCAAAAGTAATTAGTAATTAGTTACATTACTAGTTACATTACTTTTTTCTCCATGAAATTTATGAAATCCCAGCATACACGC